GCCTTGTAATGCATCATTTGTAATCAGACTTGTAGAATGTCTCAAACATTTCGAGTTTTATAAACTCTTCTTCGGTTTGTCCGAAATTTATCCCGATCTTCGGTGTGTCCGAGATCACGAGTTTGGTGTGTCCGAACTCAAGCCTTGGTGTGTCCGAGGTCCACTACCCTTTGCTTTCCCTTCGATCCATTCCATTTCCCTGTCTTAGTTTTGAATTCGAGAGCCTCTTAGAGCCGGTGATTGAAACTAAGATCCATCCAATTCCCCTTCGTTTTAACCACAATCCGAACGCGAATTCGAGAGCCTTCTCCGTGAAGTGCGGGTGATTGCGTTTCGGATCAGATTCCATCCTCTCCGAGCCAAGGAGTGTATCATTTTGGTATGAGAGCTTGCTCGAGCCAACGGACGTCTAACCCCGGTGAGATCTATCTTTTATTTCGGTTTATTTCGTAATCAAGTTTTGAGGGCAAAACACGGAGAAGAGAGAGGGAATGATGATGACACAAAACTTCGGAAGAGAGAGGGAATGATGAGGATATCGGATCCAACAATAAAGAAGATCTTGACGGAAGCATACATGGAGCAAAGACAAGGGCAAACCGAGTTCCACAACCGAGTTCCACCTCGGATCGAAGCCACAAAGTAAAAGGAAGTTGCTTGAAGTGCAAGACAATTATCCAAAGGAAGCTTCTTCATCATCAAGGCAACTCCAACAACTATCTTCCCAACCACCTCATTTAATGCAACATCAAGGAATTCAACCAACTAGCTTCCCAACCACCTCATTTAATGCATTGGACTCCTACCCCTCTTGCATGTTCTTGTCATTTAATGTTGTAGTTGAGAACTCTAGCCTATATAAAAGCCTTGTAATGCATCATTTGTAATCAGACTTGTAGAATGTCTCAAACATTTCGAGTTTTATAAACTCTTCTTCGGTTTGTCCGAAATTTATCCCGATCTTCGGTGTGTCCGAGATCACGAGTTTGGTGTGTCCGAACTCAAGCCTTGGTGTGTCCGAGGTCCACTATCTATTCTTCCCCTTCGTTCCATCCATTTTTCTATCTTAGTTTTGAATTCGAGAGCCTCTTAGAGCCGGTGATTGAAACTAAGATCCATCCATTTTTCCTTCGTTTTAACCACAATCCGAACGCGAATTCGAGAGCCTTCTCCGTGAAGTGCGGGTGATTGCGTTTCGGATCAGATTCCATCCTCTCCGAGCCAAGGAGTGTATCAATACTGATGAATGCCGGCTGGAATTCAAATTTATTGCGATCGATATCGGGCAGCGAATGCATGAGAGCTGTTGAGTGTTCTTGGGCTGAAGATATGCCCCATAAGTGTCATTGTCATTCTCGACAGCTAAAGCACGTTCCTCCATCTTCTTCTGTTGTTTCTTCTTCTTCCGAATGTTTTTGGAAGATTTCTCGATTTCTGGATCAAAAGGGACTAGGTTGTCAGACCCAGAACTCCTGGTCATACACCGGGAAAACCTACACACCAGAAAAATAGGACAAAGAACTAGAATAGATAGGAACGAGATAAAAGTAAACGAGAAAGCATCTAGATTCAAAGGAATCTCTATCCTAGCGCTAAACTATTCTCCGGCAACGGTGCCAAAAATTTGATAACGCAAATCTAGGTGTATAAATAAGCTCAAGTAATAAAAACCTAGATACAGCGAATACCGCAAGGATACGGATCAACTGTAGTACCAGGGTCAAACACAGGGAATAGTTAACACTAAGAACAAGACTCGACTAAGATTCAGATCAACGAATAGCAGATGAAACAGATGAATACCGAAAATAAAGCAATAAACAAACTAAGTAAATCAGATAACTAAACCACCGTAGCTTCGGGATAACCTTAACGCGCAGGGATTGTTTCTAAGGATGGAGAATCTACGAATATCGAACTCTAATCGGGGATCTCAAGTTCTAATATCAGATTTGGGTCTCTCAAGTCCTAAACCCGCTATCCAATAATTTAACCTATCGATCTCTCAACCTAATAGATTAAAATATCAAATGCATTAACGATCACTATCACAGCTCCTAAACCGATTAACCTATCTCTCAATAGTCTTAATCAATTCATTCTATGAATTCTTTCCGAATCTAATTCCAACTCTCGTTGTCAATCAGAATCTAAGATGAATCAATCAACAGGCCAAGAAGATCAAAAGCAATAAACTCAATTCAATTAAACCGCCGAGTATCGATAACGTAGTCTCGGAAAATAAAAACCAAACAAATCCCTACAAGGTTAAATTCCGAGCTACAGTGAAACGACTACTCGCTACCCATAACAACAAACGAGTTCAAATCAATAGAAAGAAACATAGAAACAGATAAAGAAGACACGCAGCGATCTCTCGATGACGATTCATCAATCTCTACTCCCGGGAAACTCCGTCTTGATTCTCTCTCGAGTTCTCTGGCTTCTGTTGTGATCTCTCGATGATTTCTGAAGCCCAAGACATCCTCTATTTATTTCTTTGGCAGCTAGGCTTCTTTTCATTCTAAAAATGGAAGTTTGGATGCAAAAATAGGAAGTTTTCTCGAAATGCAACACGACCGTGTTACAGGCAACACGGTCCGTGTCAATTGTATGATCAAAACTTCTGTGCTTCTGCATGGGCTGGACACGGACGAGTTGCAGATCGACACGGCCGTGTTTCACATCGACACGGTCCGTATCAATTGTCTATATGAGTTTCTTCGTTTTCTTGTCTTTGACACGACCGTGTTTGGACTCGACATGGCCGTGTTCAAGTGCAACTCGAGCTGGAAGTGTCTTAATCATTCTGTTCCGGTCCAATATGCTCCGAAGTCCTCGATTATGTTCCTCTGGCGCCCATAATGCGTCTATTACCTGTTCAATCACCAAAGAATGCAGAGGAAGCAAAAAACAGTGCTGAAATGATCCTAAATGTCTAATAACGCACAAAACTGATGCGAAATCGCTGAACAATGGACTTTGAAATAGAGGAGAAGATCGTGTTATCAGCTGTTGCCGGGGATAATTTAGACAACAGGATTAAATCCTATCTAGTCCGAATTTTGTTTGTTTTTCTTTTTTCTAAGTGATTTCTCACGTTTTCTTCACTTGTTGTTGTTTGTCGTCTGGTGTGCAGATTCTCTAGTGCATGACCAGAAGTGCTGGGACATCAAACCCAGTACCTTTCGATCCCGAACTTGAAAGGACCGTTACACGCCTCTGGCGACAGCAAAGACAGATGGAGAACAACCGAGATTTTGCTCTTCCCGATGGTGCCGAGGGCAATGCTGACTCAACCTTTGCCCAGTACAACATGCTAAAGCACACTGAACTCATGGACGACATACACTTACCAGCCATTGACATGACCAGTTTCGAGCTGAACCCGTCTATCATTCAGATGCTGAGTAATAACACTTTCCAGGGTAAGCTGAACGAAGATTCAAATGCACATCTAACACGTTTCAAGATGATATGTCGCTCGATTAAGAGAGATGCCAGGGTGACGGAGGATGCTCTCCGTTTG